TCAAGGTGAGAGTACTGAAGCTTGCTTATATATATATATATATATATATATATATATATATATATATATATATATAAAATATATATATATATATACCTGCAATGCATACATAAGCTATGTTCAAATATGGAAACCCTTTCTTCTTCTTTCAGACATCCTCAATTATTGCATGTAATTCCACCGTCAAATATTAGGGTTAATGTTAAAATTAGAAGCCCTCAACTTATGATCAAAGCCAAAAACATAATCAAGAAGAACATTAATCCGCCGCCGCCACCGCCGCCGTTTAAGGTTTCGAAAATCCTCAACAAATTGGACGACTTCATATCAGCCTATCTCGAAAAATCGCCCCTCCCCAAAAGTATCGATCCGGAAAAAACTATATCGGGGCACTTTGCTCCGGTGGACGACGAGCTTCCCCCCACCCCTTGCGAGGTGGACGGCGGCCCCCTCCCGCCATGCTTGGACGGGGCCTACATCCGCAACGGCCCAAACCCTCAGTTCCTTCCAAAGGGACGCCCTTATCATTTATTCGACGGCGACGGTATGCTCCAAATGATCAGAATCTCTGGGGGCGGCAAATCGGTCACCTTCTGCAGCCGCTACGTAAAAACACACAAACATAACGTGGAGCGCGAAAACGGTTTCCCGTTTGTTCCGAGCCCTTTCGCCTCCTTCAACGGCTTAGCGGCTTCTGTGACGCGCGCGTTGCTCACGTTCACGCGTGTGGTCGTTGCCGGCCAGTTCGACCCACTGAGCCGCGGTTTCGGCTCGGCTAACACGAGCCTGGCTCTATTCCCATGCCGTGGCTTATTCGCTCTATGCGAGTGCGATCTTCCGTACGAAGTGAAAGTTATGGAGGACGGAGATATAGTAACCCTTGGCCGCCGCGATTTCCACAGCACCAACCGATTCTTCTTTAATATGACGGCGCATCCGAAGATCGACCAACGAACCGGACAAGTATTTGCTTATCGATACAACTTCACGCGCCCGTACTTAACGTTTTTCCGAATCGACTCGGACGGAAGAAAACAACAGGACGTTCATATAAACTCCGTTAAAGAGTGCACGATTATTCACGACTTTGCCGTGACGGAAAACTACGCCGTATTCCCCGATACACAGATTGTGGTGAACCACCCTTTGAGGGCTTTGATCGGCGGGAGATCCCCGGTGGCGGTGAATTCCGGCAAGGCGCAGCGGCTTGGGGTTATAAGAAAATACGCGGAGGATGACAGCGGGATGTGGTGGGCGGAGGCGCCGGGGCTGAACATGCTGCACTGTGTGAATGCATGGGAGGAAGACGGCGGCGCCACCATTGTGGTGGTGGCTACCAACGCTTTGGAAGTTGACCAGTTGTTTCAGAGTATTCATTTAGCAAGGTTGACTATGGAGAAGATCACCATTGATGTGAAGGCGGAGACGGTGAAGAGGGAACAGCTGTCGCCGGAAGTTCTTGATTTTGGAGTTATCAATCCGGCCTACGCCGGGAAGAAAAACAGGTACATTTTACTTTTTAGGGGTTGGATTCAGTTTCTGTAATTATTTATTTTTAATTATTTTTTTCATTTACTAATTTTCTAACTATAGTTTTTCAACAAATATTAAAATTGAAACTGAATCGTGAAGAATCCTTCCAGATTCAATCTTTTATTGTTTATTAATATATCTCAAATCTTAAGATCGTAAAAGATAAAAATATAAATTCCATTTGTTAAATATTGACGTATTCTTTTGGATCTAAAGTTGGTGGGGACGGATCTAGGGTTTGGTGGAACGAATCTAAGATTTTTCGATCTGATTTCTATAAATGTCTGTGAGTGTCTGGCAAATGACGGTTAGGGTTCAAATGAGGAGTTAGGGTTGCAAGATGTCTGAAAATATTTGTGGGTGACTATGGATTACTACTGTTCCTACGGGTGTCTGTAGATGACTACGATCGAAAAAATATTAAAAAAAAATCATAATTGTCAATATTATGTAGAAAAAAAGGAAAAAAAAAAGATTTTTATAGTATTGAATAAAAAAACAAAAAGAGAAACGTATTCTACATAAAAAAATAAAATAACAAAAATGCTAGATGCAAAATAAAAAATTAAAAATAATACCATAGTACACCAAGTACATCATAGTATATTTACAATCTGCTCAAATTTCGAATTTGTGAGTGGAGGTTATTTTTAGAATGAATTTAATAACATATATGAAGCAAATGTTAAGTTATGTTTGTCATTTAATTTTAATAAGTTTTGTCGCCAGATATTTATATCTTAAGACCCTTATATTTTTGTATTATGTATTGAATTGACCATTTTTTTCACTTTAAAAATACCATCCTGTGCATAGCACTGGAAAAAAATGCTGGTTAAGTACAATAAAATATCACATGGTGTTTTCGAAAAAAAGGTGGGAGTATGTGTTTTTTTTAAGAAACTACATATATTTTTATATTTTTAACACATGTACCCTCTAAATTATATTATCTCCATATTTTTTTTCTTCGTATTCAGATACGCATATGCCGCAATGATAGGGTCGGACGCAATAGTAGGGGTGGTGAAGCTAGACCTAACGCTAACGGAGAATCACAGCTGCAGCGGTGGCGGTGAGTGTGTGGTGGCTAGCCGCTTATATGGGCCGGGCTTTTGTGGCGGTGAACCGTTTTTCGTGCCAAGAGAGCCCGATAATCCGTCGGCAGAGGAAGACGACGGTTATTTAGTAGTTTATGTAAATGATGAGAATATTGGAGAATCCAAGTTCTTGGTGATGAATGCCAAATCTGTCACACTTGATTTAATTGCTACCGTTAAGCTGCCATGTCGAATTCCTAGTGGCTTTCATGGCCTCTTTGTTTCGGATAGTGACCTCAAAAATTTACTTCGATGTTTATAAATATATACACTTTGCATAGTGTTACATGGACTGTATTTCACGGGTGCAAAGTGTAAACTGATTTTTTTTTTCTTAATTTCTTGTGTATATTTATTTGGATTTAAACTCAATATAGTTGGTTTTATTATTCTTAGCCTAGTGTCAAACTCGACTTAGCAGCGACTGTTGACCATTTACACAAACACAGGTTGAAACATCCTCGTACAATTAACGGTCGCTAGGTCGAGCTTGTCACACATGGTTAGCCTATGGTGTGGTTTAATTACGCCTTTTGTATGGTTTGCAAACTATTATATGACAATGTAGATTTACCGAGTGCACTTATATGGTTGAGATTTCGTAGAACCTAAATCTGGTGAAATACGCAATGTATTTTTAAACCGTAAATTGTACGTGCACTTAGTGACTAGTTATTTATATAATAGATCAACGGTTTAAAAATTCATAAAATTTCGGGGGCACCAAAGCAACCACATTTGTCGTCTTCCCCTAAAAAACCAGGGCCACATGACAATTTCACCAAATATATAACATATAAATCAAATATTGACACGCATATGGAAAGTTAGATGCTATACTTGGTCATTACATCAGATTTATTTGTATTGTACATTTGATTAAAAAATTATCCACTAAGTAGAAATATTGAATGCAATTTGGCCTAAAATTACATACAAGGGTAGTATAGTACTTTCACCTCTCTAGGAGGTATTCTCAATATAATAAACATATTGATTTTACAAAAAAATAAATAAAAATAATATATATATATATATATATATATATATATATATATATATATATATATATATATGTATATATATATTAAACAAACAGGTTAATAATAATAATAATAATATTAAATAAATCACCGAAAATGCTAAATGCAGGACCAGAAATGTTGAATGCAGTTTGGCCGAAAATTGCATATAAGGGTAGTATGATAATTTCGCCTCTGCAAAGGGTATGTCAAATAATGTTTTTGACTTGGGTTTATCTCTAATTTATTTGATACTTAGGGGTATATAAAATATGTCCATCACCTTCAAATATAGTTTGTGCCCGACAATCTCAACTAATAAAACTTGAGGCCAATCAATAATGTATGAATAAAAGTTTTAACACATTCTTAAAGGTACGTTTAATATTTGAACTATACAACTGTTCGTATTCTATGTACGACTTTTACCATCTACACACTTGATTTGAACGTTGGAGGGGCTTCCGCCGGATCAACTCCCGGTTTAGTTTCATGTTCTATGATCGCAGGTATCTCGATCAACCTCATGAGCTAGTGACATACTTTGCTCTTCTAGTGCATCCTACTTCAATTCTCTAAGGTGATCTAATTCTAGCATCGAATCACATACTGAATGTCAAATGTCAATGCAATAAGTTTGTCCTTGAAACTTCATTAACTCGTGTAGGATAATAAATGTACTCAAAACTAGTTTGTAGATGAGAGATTTGTTTAGAAAGTCAATTTCCATCCCACCCCCAATATAAAGCCATCCTCTTATTACATACATATTCTCTTAAATTAATTTCTCAACCATCATGGAAGCTCTTTCTTTCTCTTTCAAACATCCTCGTATGAATATCAATATCAAATCCAAATCCAAATTCACTATCTTAAAACAAACTACAACTTCTCAAAACAGAGAAACCCTAAAGAATCCACCACATATTACACAAATACCCTCCAAACTTATAATAACAACAAATAATAATCAAAATAGAAACCCCAAGAATTTACAATCCTTGGCTTCAATCATCTTCAACGCATTAGACGAGTTCATATGCGCCTTTCTCGACTCCCCACTTTGCCCTTGCGTCGATCCCGAACACGTTCTGTCGGGAAACACGTCCCCGGTGGTCGATGAGCTTCCGCCCACCGCCTGCGAGGTCGACGGCCCTCTCCCGAGCTGCCTCAACGGAGCGTACATTCGCAACGGCCCAAACCCTCAGTTCATCTCTACTGACAGTGGCGGCCGCCGCCGCCCTTATCATCTCTTAGACGGCGACGGGATGCTTCACGTGATCAGAATCTCCGGCGGGAGAGCCACCTTCTGCAGCCGCTACGTAAAAACACACAAGCACACAGTTGAGCGTGAAAATGGCTACCCTTTTGTTCCTAGTGTTTTCGCCTCCTTCAATAATGGCTTCCCAGTTCCCACCTTCCGCAGCTCGTCTGCTGCTGACTTTAGCCCGACTTGTTGCCGGCCATTTCGACCCCTTGAACCAGGGCTTCGGCGCCGCCAACACCAGCGTCGCTCTACTACCCGCCGGCGGCGGCGGCGGGGGTCTTTTTGCTATGTGCGAATCTGACCTTCCTTACAGAGTAAAAGTGACGGAGGAAGGAGATGTAATAACACTAGGCCGGCATGATTTTCACAGCACCGAGCCGTTCAATCTTATGACGGCGCATCCGAAGATCGATCGAGAAACCGGGGAGGCGTTTGCTTATCAGTACAGCGTTTTCCGGCCGTTCTTGAAGTTCTTCAGGATAAACTCCGACGGGAGAAAACAAAAGGACGTGGCGATAAACTCCATAGACGGATGCACAGTTATTCACGATTTTGCCATCACCGAGAACTACGCCGTGTTCGCCGATTCACAGATTGTGGTGAAGCCTGAGTGGGTTCTGAGAGGAAGATCGCCGGTGGGGGTGGATTCCGGCAAGGTGCCGCGGCTGGGGTTCATCCCGAAATACGCGGAGGATGACGGCGAAATGGTGTGGGTTGATTCGCCGGGATTGAACATGTTGCACTGTGTTAATGCTTGGGAGGAAGAAGACGGCGGCGGCGGCGGCGGCGCCGCCACCATTGTGGTGGTGGGTTCAAATGCTTTGAACGTTAATCAGGTGTTTGAGAATATTGAACTGGCGGAATTGAGATTGGAGAAAATTACCATAAATTTGAATGCCAAGACGGTGGAGAGGCGTCCGGTGTGTGAAGAAACTGTTCTTGATTTTGGAACTGTCAATCCAGCTTATGCCGGGAAGAAGAACAGGTAAATTTTAAATTACAAAACCCCCCTCATGTTCGGGTAATTACAGTCATCCCTCAACTATGTATTATCTTACGAAAATACCCTTCAAAAGTAAATTTAGGGATGTTAAAATTGGTAAAATCGAACCGAAATTTCGGTAAACCAACATTTCATACCGTTTATTGAATTGAATATACGACTCGGTTCGGAAAATAGTCGCATTACATAAATTTTATGTAAAAATATTTAAAAGGAGGGGGAGGCTATTACCCAAGCAAGAGGGTTTTTTTCGTAATTTAGCCATACCTCGGGGATGGCCGTAATTTTCCCTGTATATATATATATTTTTTTTATTTAGCTACAATAGAATTAACGGTCCACACACTGAATTTTTTTAATACATTCAGCCCCGACTTAAAATCCAGACCCTACTAGTGAATATCTTAGAGGAATTTTAGTAGTTCGACACAATTAAGTAATTAACGCTTTTTTATTTATTTTATTTTTTATTTTTATGTAATGGACTAATCATAGTACGTAATGTATATTTTTCTTCATATCCAGGTATGTTTATGCAGCGGTGATAAAGTCAAAGGCCATAGTCGGAGCAGTGAAGCTAGACTTATCATTGAGCGGTGATCATAACCATGATTGCACGGTGGCTCAACACCTATATGGGTCCGGCTGCACCGGCGGTGAATTGTCTTTCGTGCCAAGGGAGTCGAATAATCCGTTAATGGAGGAGGATACCGGTTATTTAATAACATACGTACATGACATGGATAGTGGAGAATCCAAGTTCTTGGTGATGGACGCCAAATCGCCCACTCTTGATATAATCGCCGCCGTTAAACTGCCACGCCGGGTCCCCACCGGCTTCCACGGCCTCTTTGTGCCGGAGACTGATCTCAATAAACTTTGAAACTTGTATTTTATATGAATCTAGTTTGTATCAAGTGTTTTGTGATCGAATGACATGTTCGAGTCCAAGTCATGAACTTTTTCGAGTAATAACGACGGTTACACATATATATATACGATATCAGTATCACCAAATCAATTACGGTTCCATGCTACTCAATGTGGTGTCTATTAGACCCGAGTCCGGATGAGTAATAGCTAAATCGTATATATGATGGTGTCTAATATGTAGATGGGACGAATTGCATAAAAGTCCATGAGAATGTCACTTACTTGAAAATGGACATCCTACGTTTCTTCATTGCAAATATATCTACCCATCCAACTTAATTTGCAATTAAGGAAAAGTCTTTTATATATACCAAAAGTACCCATAGGGGCGTAACTTCTTCAAATTCTCAATTCACAATATTGGAGACCGGTTGGATCAAAATAATTCAAATTTCTTTAAAAAAAAAAGTCAACACCGGAGACTCGATGGTCAACTCTGGCGACCGGCCTGAAAAAAAATCGTCGGAATTTTCTTTTTAAATTGTGAAAATGGAGTGAATGTGATATATTTTTTAAATATGGGGTCAATGTATAATATTTGTGAAGTTAGAGTTTAATGGATGATAGCAATATATTTGCGAACATGTTTTTGGTTCGGACATGCAATTCGCCCATATAAATGATTGGGATATATAACCATGTTTAAATATCTATGTTCATTATTTACAAATAATATCTAGAAATATATTAAATATATTACATTAAATATAAAAAAAAAACTGGTTTATTTCTGATTGATTGTGGATTAATCATGAGCCGGTGGTGCCTCACCACCTCCAATCCGATTTCCGCCTTTTACAACTTTGATATAATATAGTGTAATATACCCACTTATAATAAAATATTTCTGAGTTTAAAATGTTTAAATAATAATATATTGTTTTAAAATATGACTTATTCAATGTTTTTATTCAAAATAACGAAAAACAAAATACGTGTCACAGGTGGTTTTAAAAATAAAAATAAAAGGTGCAAATCTATTAGATATAGAATTGAATAATCAGAATTCCCAAGTAATGAAATAGCTTATAGCCACC